GGACAGAGGAGATGCCCGCCCCCCTCCCGCCGGGATCTGGGACCGCCACCGCTTGCGGCAGGGACGCCGCGCCTGATTAAGGCTTCCAGAGCCGGGCTCAGCCCGGACAGACCCAGCCTGACACATTAATGGGGTGCAGGGAGTGCACAGGAGGGGAGGCTGGAGAAAGGGGGGAGTGGCCGAAGGAGGCCGGTAGCGGCGAGGAGGTGGGGAAGTACCCTCCTTCTTGGGGTCCCAGCTAGGAACCCCGATCGTTTTAACCCTTTGCATTACAAGTAAGAAGCGGGCTGCCCACTTGGAAGTTTAAAACGCGCTGGGCAGTTCCAGGGTTTTCCTCCCCACATCGAGTGGATGGGAAAAAGAAGAAAATGGGATGGGAAGGAGAAGAAATGCATTTTCCTTACAACAGTGGGAATTCTGGTTTCCTAACTGGGGAGCCCCTCGGCGGCTCCGGAAGATGTGGAATGGAAAAGTACATCCCGGGACGCGCAGTCTTTACCGGGCAGAGAGGTTACCTGTGCTCCCAGCGAGGCAGCGGATTTCTGGAGAGCGCCGCAGGGATGGGGAAAGACAAGGTTGCTAAGCCTGACAGTTATCTGCAATATCCACTGCTTTTCAGTCTGTTGGAAATTTTCAGACCTCACACTTTTCTGTCGAAAACTGACTGTAAAGATTTAAAAAAAAAAAACACAAAACACCTATGTAGATCATTTCTTCCCTCCCCTGGCCTATTCGAGCACCCTCGTCCTTCACCAAATCGCGCCAGTATAACGTACCTTGTTCAGCTCTTGGTCATAAAGTTGTCCTCGGCCTGTCTGTGTGGTCCCGGAGGGCCGGTGGCGGGCAGTTTCCAGAATTGAGGTAATAAGAGATCAGATGAATTTGAGACGACCGGCCAAAAAAAATAAAAAGTTTAAAAACAACATTTAAAGAAAGATGCGGGAACCTTAAAGGTTTGATTCTTCCCCCACTTTAAAAGGAAATTTCACCAATATTCTTGGATATTTCCGCTGCACTTAAGTCTCCTGATTCTTTTTTTTAAAAAAATTTAACTTTAAAAATAAATTAATTTAAAAAAATTTTTTTTATTGTTATTCTTTTTGCTCCAGTCCTTCTCCCCTGATATCGGGAAATCTCTTCTCTTTTTCGTATAGAAAGAAAAAAAAAAAGCCCGGTGAAGACTCAGCAGAACCCAGGAAGCGCAGAATCAGGAGAAAGTCTTTGGCTGGGACTGGTTCAAGTCCCTGGTTCAATGGGCTGCTGGAAGCCAGGACTGGGTAATTCTTTCCAGACGTCTTGACTTCTCCTTCCTCGCTGCTGTTGCCTTTCTGCCTCCTCCAACTTAAGGGGGTCTTAACTAGTGAGCTGGTGGGTGTTTTAATAGGGCGGAGGAGGGAGTGGGGGGTAGGGGAGTGGAGAAGGGAGGTGCGGACTGGGGAACCCGGAGGGGCGGGCGGGCCGGCGGGAGGCGGGGAGAGGCAGAGAAAAATTGGCCATTCAAAGCCCTTTCTGAGCTGGAGGCCGGTTTTAAACTCCAATGAATTCAATTAACTTGATTGCTAACGTGTGCAGAGAGATGCAGGGCACTCATGCTGGCCACCACCTGAGTCCCTCCGTTCTCCAGCGGTGGAGCTGGAGGCCACGCTTTGTAGACATCCCTGATTCCTGTCCTAGTTACAAGGATTCCCTCTTTGCGATCAACTCTGCATAGTGTTTAAGTAATTTGCTTTAAGGCCAAGTGGTACCCTTAGGCTAAGTAACCGCTCTGGGGAGAGCGAGCTGGAGTGTGTGTGTGTGTGTGTGTGTGTGTGTGTGTGTGTACATGCCCGGGAGTCTCTAAAAAGTCGGCGACTGGTCCATTCACTACTTGCTAACCCTTTCTTCCCTCCAACTCAGAAGTTTCTGAGCTGATGTGTCCAAATCCCCCTTTCACAGTCGTTTCCGCCTTGGGTGGGCGGGAAAAGCGGAAACATAATTGTGCGGTGTTTGTTTTTTTTCTTAACCTGCTCCCCTAACGTAAAAAATATGCTAACAGCATGCATTATAAATAAAATGTAATAAAAATAAAATAGCCCTTCGGAGGACTCGAAAATAGCGCCCTTAAAAAAGCATTTCTAAAGTAATGGCTTAAGTGGCTTTTGCTTCTTGCGAGCCTTTTAAGAAGAGGAGTCAAAATACTTATTTATTTGCTTCAAGGTGGTCTTTTCTCATCTCTCTCCCATTGTCCCGAGGCTGAAAAGGGTTCGTTTTCTCGGTTACTTTTTTACCCCCTTTATTTCTCTTTCATCCTCGCCAACAACCCTCCTGATGACTTACAATGGACAGTAGGTGGCACTGTTTGGGAAAAAATGAATGAGTTTACAAATAACGAATGTGGCCTCTGGAGATTTTTTTTTTTTTTTCCTTTTCTATCCAAGGTTCCTCTGAGGTATGGACTTCTTTCCAACTCGATTAAGCCTTGAAAACTAGATTATTGCTCCTTATCACATATCTTGGACAATAATGACGAAATCAAAACAAAAAAGTCGAGTCGACTGGAAGGGATGCTTTATAACACGTCAAACAGGGTGTGGTGTTGGGGGGATGTGATTAGAGGGCAAATATTTTATTGCAATACCAGGTAGTTAGCCAACCCAGTACCCAAGGGCCAACTGCAAAGTACTCATTTCGATCTCTACCCCACACCCCACCCCCACCTTCACCCCACCCCCACCCCAGGCCACCCCCC